CCAAGCTCTGGTTGAAGCTGCCGCCGAAAGTCAAAGTCTGCAGACTAGTTGGCAAAATGACACCCTTCAAGCTCTGATTGAAGTTGTAGCCGAAGGTCAAAGCCTGCAGGCTGCTTGGGAAGGTGACACCTTCCAAGCTCTGCTTGAATCCGTTGTCGAAGGCAATTGAGGCAATTGCACCCGTCACTGTCGCATGCGCATGGTCTCTTGTTCCCTCTGCAAGGGCCCTTTGGAACCCAATCGCTGCCTCCAGTGCGCAAACCTGTCGAACGACATATGAGATCTCTCGTCCGCACCCTTCTTGCTGCAAAAGCTTGGATGAGACCTCCAAAATCTGGTCGCCTGCAAAAAGAACAAGTTTTCCACCAACTCTCATGCAGATTCTTTCTGCGATGGTCTTGGAGAGGTCATCCACCTAGAGCTTGCATGCTTGAACTCTGTGAAAATAAAGATTCAAATCTAGTCAAGTCTGCTGAAAGAATTTGAGGTATGGTTGTTGCTACCTTGATCCCAGGTACTTGTTTTGATCTAATAGGGTTGGAGAAGTGCGAGTGTTGCCACCCCTACAAGGTATGCTGTTGGAATCTATTGGGCATAGGAGCCTCAGGGAGCTTCCCCTTCTTCGGATTCTATGTTGGTCATTTGTAGGGGATTTGAGAACTTGGCAAGCACAGGGAGACCTGGTGATCAGGTAGAACCTATATCCGGAAATCCCTCGGGTAGATGGAAATCCTTTAGCTTTTGTGACCTCTTTGCCATCCAAGCCACCTTCGCCGTCTCATCCACTGGGAGCTGAAAGCTTGTGCCATCCAGGCCGCTGATGGTCCAAAGCTGCTGCGAATTCCTCGCCTCCGCCACCAGCCTCATGGTCCGCACATGTGGGAACAACCGAGTCGCCGGAAAAGGAAGTCTACAGTGGGGTGGGCGAAAAAAGGAAGCAATCGGTGGACAAAACGCATTGTATTCCGTTCATATTCTTCTCTGACAGCCCATTCCAAGCTTGAAAGAGACCGAAATGAAGCCCCTCTGCGAGCTGGCTCTTGAGATTGATGGCTTTCATAGGGCCAAATAGGTCCTGGAACTGGTGGGATACGGCCGGACCTGGCTCGCATCCGGGCGGGACCGGCGAGTTCATGGCGCACACATGGATGCACAAGCCATTAGTAGACCTACACCATTGTAGTTGTCAAGTCTAGTTTTCTTGATGAGCCCTACGCTAATTGATCACCAAGGAAATCCTTCAAGAAAACAGGAAGAAACTCCGGGAGCAAAACAAACCAAAACCCAAAGGCAAGCCCCACCAGAGCAGTCAGCCTACAGGCAAGTCCTCCGTGCATTGAATCCACTATTTCATCTTGCCAAACATTCAAAAGGACTACAGTAAATTGTCAATCCTTGTGCGTAGTAGTGGTGCTATGACGCACCTTCCTTCCCCCAAGTTCTTCTCCAAATTGCTCACCATATCTCACCATACAACTCCACCGCCACACCCTGCAACCCCCTGAAACAACCCTCCAAGCTGCTCCTCCGCCCTGCGCAGCAGCCACTCCGCGCGCTCCAGGTTCTCTGCGATGAACGTCCGCAGCACAGCGTCCACTTCGGCCGCATCGTCGGGCAGCGCAGCACTGGTGGTGGCGCCCATGGGTCGAAGGCGGCAAAACGACGGCCGAAGATGTGGTATGGTTCAAAGGCTCCTAGTAGCGTCCTTTGCTCCTAGTAGTAAGGCCAGGAGCCCCTAGTAGCTTCTTGTTCCTAGTAGCGATGCCAGGAGCCCCTAGCAGCGTCCATAGCTAGTGGTCTGGTGATCGAAGATGTGGTCATGCCACTATTGGATGAGGAAGAACCGCGCAACGGACAAAGCATGTGAAGTCAGGTTCTTTTGACCATTTTGGAGACTACCGCCTCGCTTACATGTCACCAGCCAGAACGGTGCACGCACGGCAAGGTGTGCGGTGCGCATGTCGGCATGATCCAACTTCCAAAGAAGAAGCTGCTTCCAACCTAATAGGAAGCTCAGGAAGTGGCAGGAGAAATCAAACCTAATAGCGATGGCCTCCAAAACGAAGCTGCTTCATCCCAGGAGTTCGGAAGGTCAGAGTGTCTCTCGATGTTCCACTTATTTCTCGCCATTCGAAGTGTCTTCCACCGCGCCGAACCGAGCCCACTTCCACCGGCCGATCGGGCCTGGCGCGTCTCCGCGCGAGCGCATGGACCTGCCACGCGTCCAGGGTGACGGAGGCGGTTCGTCTGGGCGGTGACGGAGCTCGATCCAACACATCCCTGACGTGGCTTCGCTAGTCTTGGGATCCGACGACTGAAGTCAAGATCACACGTAGTGAACGCAACCAAATATAACCAAATATTATCTAGGAGCTGCCTGGAATTTCCCTGTTAAATGACGGATGTTCGGACCAGTCTTGCGTTAAACCATCTAGAATCCACCTGGAATCTGTGCACATCTGTGGGGATAAATCTCAAAATCTGTGGAAGATCCATGGCTCAAACCAGCTTTGCGGGAGAGATAGCCATCCATACATTGCTCCAACCAGTGACTTCCTGCACGCCCCCGTCCGCCACGTTCCAACTGCCAGACCCCGGACGCCCGGCGAACTGCGCCTCATCTGCGAACGCGCACGTGCCAGTTCTGCCAACACGCCCGTCTCCGGCCACTTCTGTGCAGTATGGTGTCCTCGGACGAGGACCGTCTAATTGTCCAATAAACATTTGATATGAAGCATAATTGTCCCGTTTTCTGAAAAGTGGTTTCGTCACCTTCTAATTGTCCAATAAACAGGAGAGTCATGTTGAATCGAAGATTCATACGCTAACCTATTGACCTTTTCAGAACTATCTGAGAAAAGTGAGCGATTCAGTTGGTAGACCCGAAGATGGTTTGGGTGCTGAGGATCCAAGCTATCCCAAACATTTGAGGCATCTGCTATTCTTAGGATCCCACAATACAGCATGCCTGACTGAGGGATTTCAGAACATGAATCCTCACAGAATTGGTCCTATTTCAAAACTATTCATGGAGGTCTCATTGACCCAGTGTATGTTAGGTCAGAACAAAAGATACAACGATAGCTCTGGACACCTCACCCGACCAAATTCATTCAAAGCCCACTGACCGCGGTGCTGGCCAGTGACACGCACGAATGCAAATTGGAATACACCTTCCAGGCAGGAAAAAAGCACGGAAATGACGGAAATGCAATTAAAAAAACAGCGTGTATTAGGGTGGAGGCCATCGCTACTAGGAAGAGGCCATCGCAAGTAGCTTGGAGGCCATGGCTATTAGGAAAAAAAGAGTTGTAAAACAAAATATTCCTATATATAATTCCTTTAAAACGATTCTTTTTAACAACATGGTGTTTATACATACGTTCCTTTGTTTCCCCTCATAGCGATGGCCTCAGACCCTAGTCGGGAGCACCCACCAGGCCTCTTCACCGGATCCGTCGGATCCGAAAAACAGGCGCTCGAATGGCGCGCTCGCCATGGCGCGATGCTGGGATGCTCCGTTCGGTTCGGCGTCCGATCGCCCCGTTCGGTTCGCGATGCCCTGGCTGTTACGTTCGTAGCTTCTTGTCCCTAGTAGTACGGCCAGGAGCCCTAGTAGCGTTTCTTTTTGTTAGAAACCCGGATGTAACACCTTTCTTTTTATATAGATGGTTTTCATGCTTGGAAAAAACATGGAAAACAAAACACCTTTCATGAGCAGCCTGCTTGTAGCGCCTCAGGATGCTAGAACCCGCAAAAGTGAAAAAAGAGAGATGTTATACCTCTTTTGATTCGGTTGTGCAGCCTTTGCTCTATGCTTGTGACTCTTGCCTTTGTTCATTGCACCGGCAAACTGCGTCCAATCACCTGACCCCCAAAACAACACCACTTGAGTTCCTATAGGCACAACGACCCATCGAACCACTTCGGGTGTCTCCAAATTTTGGCCTTGAGGAGAAAGGTGGACACTTGGACGACCAAAAACTCTAAAGCTCTTTAACACACTTCTCAGGTCAACACCAACTCTTCAAGCTCCAAAAATGTCAACTAGTCGAGGTATCTCTTTGAACCATGGACATGCGCCAACCTGATCCAAAGTAAACGTAGCTCACATGACTGGACTACCTACAATCATACACTGCTATCATGTTTGTGTGGTGCTTTCCTTTTTTGTCAAAGAAGACTTCACCAGGTCCTTGTCACAAAACGTGCTTTCTAGCCCTCTGTGTCCGAACCGAATGTGTAGCCCCTGTGAACCGCTACAATATAAGCCTCAATAGTCCCCGTGAAAAAAAACTCAAGCTCACGGCATCTCACAACCGACTCATCCGAGAGGATGAGGCAATCCCTTTTGAGCGACTCCTGAGCGGACTGCCTCTGCGGCTGCGAGCGTTTTACACCATCGTTGCACAAACCCGAGACACGTCCAGGAACGAAACTCTTGTTCTGGAAACTAAAGTGTTTCCCGTGAATTGACAACTCCAAGTCCTTGTATCAATCACCAGTTCAAGGCATTGGAACAAGACATGCTGCACCAGTTCCAACATGTTCCAACAAAGGATATGCTTTAAAAAAGGAAACACGTCCAATGGGCAAGTGCAAACTCTTCTATTGTTTCTAACCTCTTTTGCTCGGTCGCAAATTTCCATGCCTTTGCAAGATCACATTCGGATGGCAAAATGACATATGAATCAACATGATGTCCCCCAAACAAAGAGTCTAGGGTTCATCATCTAGAGCTCAACATGTCAAATAGATGAACCCTAAACCATTGCGGGTCCCCTGTCTTTGGGGATAGGTCGTCATCTACACGCCCGATATATATCCCTTGATCATGTTGCTACAAACAAAAACTGGGGTAGAAGCATTAGTCCGGCATCATTTCATCTGTATCGTTTAGCTTGTGTAACATGACCGTGACAGTTTCAACAAGCAACCGATGGTACACTCAATCTGCGTTTGCAGAAATGGCCGCAGATACGCGTATCTGTTACAACCACTCAAGCATCAGCTGCTTGGGCCTTCTTCTTTAACCTGGCGGCGAAAAAAGCAGAGTCCACCAAGACAAACGATCAAACTCAAGATTCCTATCAAAAAGCTTCTGGCTTTGGCAACCCAACCAGCCTTTTCAGCTCAAACCAATTAATGAAACAGTAGTGTTTTCAATGAAAGTTTGTTTTCTAAAAGTTTTGCCCGAAGTATATATATATCATTTGGCTACCAACGGGCCTTGAGGTTGGTGGGTGGAACAGGTTTTTGGAAAAGAACCGATGGCATTTGTTGAAGGTTGGACGCCTTGGTCCTGCAAAGGTTGTCTGTCCTTGTTTATCAATTGCTCGAAATAATGACATCATGCTTGTAGCACAACGAACATCATCAAAGTACTTGGGGAACCTCCTGTCCGTATACATTCATTTGTTGAGAACATTTTAACGGCATCTTCACTAACTGATAAAACGAACAGAGCACATGCTTCTGTCCAAACCGTCTGTCCTTTTGATCACAAAACAATCTGAAGAAAGCCTCACGAAGAATGAGGGGGAAAACCACCGTCCTTTAGCTACTCAAGGAGGGGCTGCAAAAGACAAGAAGAGACAAGGTGAGTGCATTACCAAAGTCTATTGAATCTCCCTTGATTGTCCCTGAAATCCCTCGAAGACCTGCTTCTTTGACATGCAACGTTTGATGGAGGACATCCATACCCGAAGACATCCATCCATCCTTCCGGTGTTTTGCCGGAGCAGCAAACGCGCCAGGCCTCTTGGACTGCTCCTTCTTCTTGGCTTCGGCATTCTCGATCCGCTGCAGCAAACGCTTGTGCTTCTTTGGCATCAGCGCCTTGGTGGACGGCAGAGGAAGACGGAACACGGTCAACAAACGCGCAGTGGGTGTTTGCTGGTGTTTAGGGTTTGGGGTTTTGTGGGAGTAGATCGAGAGTCATCTATGGATCCTTCTCTAGTGGAAGAGTTTTAAGTTAGCTTGACTTATATTATATATGCCATTTTATAAACGTTATGTGTTCCATCAAAAGGCACAGATGACGAACGCGCAGAATTTCATGGATACTCGCAACATCTGAATCATCCAACTCGCTGCGTCGTTTGGATTCACCGAGACTCTTCAGGTGCTTGTTTCTAATAGCTTCTTGTTCCTAGTAGCGATGCCAGGAGCCCCTAGTAGCGTCCTTGCTCCTAGTAGTAAGGCCAGGAGCCCCTAGTAGCTTCTTGTTACTAGCAGTAATGCTGAGTGTTGGGCGATTTAGCTAGACATCGTCTTCAGTGGCATGGCCGTTTTGGTTTGAAGAAGATGAACTGGCTTGGGATGATGACAGCTTGGGCTTGGAAGCTGGTTTGGGCTTGGGCTTGGCAGGTGAACTGGCCTGGGCCGGCGAACTGGCTCGAACTGATTCGTTGAAAAAAACACTTCGGAGAGCTGGGGAAGCAAAGGTCCAGTGCAGCCGGAAAACGGTGAGCATCCTGATCGAGAACTTTTCAGACCTGTATACTACCCATCTACGGAAGTTTGTGAAAATCATCCCAAAGTAAAAAGTGGATATGAGCGGCGTGGACTGGACCTCTACATGTTGTCAGATCCTTGATGGAGAGCTTAAGCCCAGCAAAAAACGAAAACAATTACAACAAAAGCAACATAAAAACAATAAAACCAAACAAAGGGTTGAGCGCAACAGCCCAGCCCCAAACAAATCAAATAAAACAAAAACAACAGCCCAACAAATATTCACTATTGATCCCCAAAACTGACCCCAACGATGGAGACTACACTCCTCATTTCTGGGCTCCTCTGCTTTGGCTCGGAGCCTCTCCTCCTCCATCTCTGTGGGCCTTGGGAGGCGTCTGCGCGAACAGCACGGACGAAGGAGGCCGGGAGAAGGTAATTCATCCCCATCCCGGAAAGATGCAACAAATTTGCTAGGAAGAAAAGTAAAACAAATTCTTTTCCGCAGCGGTTGTGTGACAAGACATGCGGCTCGGCTATATGATTCGAAACAACATGAAACAACTCACACAGCACCAAAGAAATTTCTGAAAAAAGAACCATTATGACAATCCAATGACTGTGATTCAGGGTCCGTCCAGGATCCCAAGTTTGGAACGTGCCATGTCATTTTTGGGTGCAGGTGGTGACATTTGTCGCGTCTTCCAGAAGACCATGGTGAGTCTTCTGAAGGGTCTTCTTGGCCAATCCTGAAGAGAGCTGAGCCTGAGCTACTAGGAACAACAAACTACTAGTAGCTCCTGGCATTACTACTAGGAGCAAGAAGCTACTAGGTTGGAGGCCATCGCTACGAATGGAACAAGAAGCTAGTAACAAAGGGCACCCCAACCTCTGAGGCTTCACTTCCTCTCCTTCTGCCTCCACCTGGACACGCCGCGAATCGGCCGGGGGAAACGGGGCCGTCTCGGACCGGCACGACTCATCCGAGGATCACTCTTGTTACTACTAGTAACAGGTGCCACGCTAGTAGTAACAGGTGCCTTACTAGTAGTAACAAGAAGCTATTAAAATTAAAATTAAAGTAAATTTAATAGCTTCTTGTTACTACTAGTAAGGCACTTGTTACTACTAGCGTGGCACTTGTTTCTAATAGCTTCTTGTTACTACTAGTAAGGC